AAAAGCCAGCGTAAAGGAAACATAGTGGTAAAAATGCATGTATTAATTGCATATTAATTCTTTGGGGTCCGCGTAACTGGGGATGTGGTAGGGATGTATCCTTAGCCTAGATACTTTGTGTTGTGTATGGGGCCAGATTTCTAATAGTGGCCCTGTGTCTAAGGCTAATCATACATGTCAACGGCTTTTAAAAGCTTTGATGTGACCTTCTCCTAGGAAGTAGGGGTGGGACCTGAGTGGACAAGCACAAGCCTGAACACTGTCTCCTAACAAGTAGGAGTGTGATGTTAGCTCTGTGGAAGCTCTGACACCATTTGACATGAAGCTTTCACAGGGTTTGACATCCAGCTTTAACATAGGAATGGAGCTGATGGGGAAACGTAGTTAAAATGAGTATAAGCAGGTTAAAGACTTTTAAGAGATTCCATGACTTTGCAAAGTGACTAAGTCTCCTCAAAGAAAACATCATTCATAGTAACTGAAAGAAAAGCAATGTGGATTTACTCTAAGGCCCCTTTCACACTGAAGCTGTACAGATACAGTTTTCATGCACCAGTCAGCAAGTGAAAACGTTGCAGAACATCAAACAATGAAAGTAAATATGTCTGTTAAAGATTTTTTCAATGCATTCCAAAAATTTTATGTGGCTAATTTTCAGTGCTGTAAATGGAATGTACTACCAATGGCACAGAAGTTGTAGATGTACTGCAATGTGGCTTATAAGGCTTCAGGAGTCACAAACCAACAAGCCAGCATGTTATAGCACCACATATGCAGACCGGACCTAGGTATTCAGTTGGGATGTTATTTGAACACTATACAGTAAGATATACAATAAAACTAGCACCCCTAACACCAGCAACAGTTCACTAAAAGACCTGAAAACACTCCCTATAGATTCTCTATGCATTGTTGTGCATTTACACTAATTATGTGCTGCCATGCCAAAGTTGAACATTCTGTAAAACAAGGCTTAAAGTGGTATTAAACTCTCTAAATGTTTCAATAATGAATCCAGATCAAACAAATATACATTGCCCAGCAAAATATTTATTTAAATTTTTGCCTATGCACTTACAGTCATCATGTTTCTGAACAGCTCCAACTCTCATAGCTCAGCTTCCCTAGTCTTCCTTTCAGGTTCATGATCCGAAGGGATAGAGCAGTCTCCAGCAGATGTCCATCTACTAGTTTGGAGAAGGGAGGAAGGAGAAGCAGGGAGCAGGGGAGTGAATTGCCTTGCTATGCCTGTTTGTTTGTGGAGACTAGACATGTGCATTCGGATTTGGACGAACCTGCAAATCAACGAAAATCAGTTGATTCGGCGATTCGTCCGAATCCGAAATAACAAATTTATTTTATGCCTTAATATACTAAAACGATATGCGGGCATACATAAATTCGTTTTCAGGACACACCGGCGGCCAATATGCGCCGCCGGCACGTTCTGCGCATGCCTGCCGCCATCTTGGAAGCGGAGTGTGTGAAGTCACATGACGGTGACATCACACGCTGAATGAGCGGCGGCCATTTTGGAGTAGATCTTGGTATACACCAAGATGGCGGCGCTCGAACACCTAGATCTACTCCAAAATGGCTGCACGCATGCGCAGAGCGCGCCGGCAATCGATATGGCCGCCACTCATTTTGCAGTTGTTTCTTCTTCTTGCTGTCTGTGTCCTGCTGGGGAGATTTCCCTTCACGTCTTGTACCGAAGATACAAAAGGAAGTAAGAGGAAATCTTTCCAAAATAATGGAAATCCCCTTTTAGACAGTTGTCACAGGAGCTATCATTCCCATTGTAAAATGTTCCCTCTATTCCCGTTTAAGTGACAACTCCCAATTTTTGATTCTCACTCAATTTTATTTCTGGTGACAGTGGCTACTAGTACACATAGAAAGAGAGTGAATCTCTTTAGGGCTTATTCACACTATGTATCATGATCTGCATTGTTCTGTGCAAAAACACAGTTTTGTTCTTATATATTGGGTTATCGTACAACAGCAGTAGTACAGTATATGTAACACATCTCTGATGTTTATACCGTTAGCAATTTGTTCAGCTACATATACTTCAATAGAAAAAAGCAATGTAGCTGATTACGTTTACATCTGTGTAATGCAGGAATGCGTGTGATTATGTACATTTCCACAACGTACAAATGTGTGTTGTCCTTCTTGGTGGGCTGTAGGTCCACCTCCAGGAAAATTTAAGAAACAACTCCCCTTGCAGTGAGGCTGCCCCAACACAGCAAGGGAAGGGTAAACTGCTCATTAATGACTTGGGGACCTGTGTAAAGGACTTTTACTTACCTGATTCCCTCTCCCCGGCAGGTGGCATTCACCTCACCCCCCTGCACTCCGGCTTGTGGACTGTGGATGACATCAACGGGCCTCGGACTGCCAGAGGGGAGAGTAGAAATGGCTGTGGACGCCAGTCATGGAGCCTGCGGGAGCAGGGACCAAGTAAGTATAAGTCCTTTACGCAGGTCCCCTAGACAATAACGAGCCGTTAACTCACTGTAGGGGTAGCTTCACTGCAAGGGGAGGTGTTTTTTTTCCTTGGAGAAACAAACCTTGCCAATGCTTGTACGTTGCATTGCACCACAACACATAGTAAATTATTACCAAGTGTAGTGTTTCACTGTTTTTTTATTTTTTTATTGTGCACTTCTTTAGTGTGATTTTTTGCTGAAGTAGGTAGCCCATTCGGATGCATGAGCGTTCCTAACACGATGCACTCTGCTGTGCATAAACAGGCACTCACCAACATGTATGCATGTTGCTGCATGTGAACCTAGCCTCAAACATTATATACAACTACTGGGGCTTATAGGGCTCAACAGCAGAGTGGCATCAGTGGTTTCTAAGGCAGGAGTGGGCAACTCCAGCCCTCCAGCTGTGGAACTACAAATCCCGTGAGCCATTGCAAGAATGACAGTTACAGGCATGAATCCCAGAAGCAGAGGCATGTTGAGATTTGTAGTTAAAGTGAACTCTAAACTCAGGAATTAAGTCTTAAAAATGCATTTAAGTAACTATTAACAAAACAGTACCTTATTTGTGTGTCACTCAGCTGTAGATCCTCAAATCATCTATGAATTGGTGCTGACACTGTCCTTCCTTCTGTAGGATGGCTACTTTTGTTTTTCATGGTCCCTGTGTGTCTTCTAAAGTAGCCACTGCTCCAAGCTTGCTCCCGTGATGGATTACAATCTCATGTTTAGTTTACTAATTTATATTGAGATTGTAGTCCATCATGAAAGCAAGCTTGGAGCAGTGTCTACTTTGCAACACACATAGGTACCATGGGGAACAAAAGTAGCCACCCTCCAGAAGGAAGGACAGTGTCATCAGCATCAATTCAAAGATGATTTGAGGATCTACAGCCCAGTGATGCACGAATAAGATACATTTTTGCTAATGCTTAGGGTACTTGATTGCATTTATAAGATTAAACTCCTGACTTTAGTGTCACTTTAAAGCACAGCTGGAGGGCTGGAGATGCCTACCCCTGTTCTAAGCGGTGCACTGCTAAGGCCTGAATGAGCCCCATTGAAAATAATGAAATTCCTCTTACTGTGTGACGGCCGAAGCACTTAAAAACGCACAGGTGTGGACAGGGACTTAGGCTGGGTTCACTCTGTTCCATGTACATGCAGTATGCATAGTATTGGGAATTACAATAAAACCCTACACCTAAGCAAGCCTATACATTATTTCACCTTTGGTGGCCATAACAAAAACGCATAAGGCAAAAACTCATGACAAACGCATTACACCACATGAAAATGCACAACAAAAAGCATGTAAATGTAGACGCACAAGTGTGAACGGAGACTAACCTGATCTGTCAAGTTTTCTAATCCAGACCTCTCTTTTCTCTTTTCTTCTGTTTAAAACGTTTTTTGTTTTTTTAACTACAAGAATTTTCCAGCATCATGGAAGATTTCTGCAACACCCACCCATATGTCCAAAGCTTACTTCAGCCTAAGCTGGCCATACACTGTTATAATTTTGTTCAAAATCGTTCATCACAGCATTCAATCTTGCCATCACTGAGTCAGCTAATTTCTTTGCAAGCTCTTAAAAATGTAATCCAGACCTGCTACTTGGATGGAATCCCAGATATATTAAAGTGACACTAAACTCAGGAGTTAAATCTTAAAAATACAATCAAATACCTTAACTATTAACAGAAATTTATCTTATTTGTGTATCACTCGGCTGTAGAGCCTCAAATCATCTCTGAATTGGTGCTGACACTGTCCTTCCTTCTGGAGGGTGGCTACTTTTCTTCCCCATGGTCCGTGTGTTGTAAAGTAGTCACCGCTCCAAGCTTGCTCTCACGTTTAGTTTACTAATTTGTAATGAAATTGTAGTCCATCACTGGAGCAAGCTTGGATGATCATGATCATCAGAAATGATTTGAGGATCTCCAGCTGAGTGATACACATATAAGACACATTTAAGTTAAGGTACTTGAATTCATTGTTAAGGTTTAATTCCTGAGTTTAGTGTCACTTTAACAGGTTTTACATTAGATTACATGTGCGATTTTTCCCCAAATGGAAATCCCATCCATGGTTCTAATTTCATTAGTTCAGATTAGAAACAAGGAACATTCTCATCCTACTCCTTGGATTTTTCTCACGAATGTTCTGAAAATGAAGCTTTTCCAATGAAATTGTTCTGGTGTATGGCCAGCTTTATTGTGCTTTGTGCTTGCAGAGATTAAAGTTATTAGAGCAATAAAAGTGATGAAGTAACTAAATTCACTTAAACAACAACTCATAGTCACAGTAAAAGCTTCACTTCCCCAGTTACAAGCCCCCCTGTAATAGTACGGATCACATGAGTCTGCTATTGCTGCAGAACACCCAAAATATGCTACAGCCCATCTTTCTCTTAGGTGTATCGCATCAACCGAGCACGCAGCTTCCATGCAGACAACTTCTTATGGCGGAGAAATGAATTACCTTAAAGGGGGAGTCTCTCACCTTACTCAGAAAAGGGCTCCGAGCTGTGAATGAAGCAAGATGGGAGGAGAGAGATGATGAGAGGAGTGCTGAGACAAGTGTAAAGGAACAATAAACCAATCCTTCTGCAGAGAACTGCAAGAAAGAAGATTTTGGGGAGAGACACGGCTAGGGGCCAGCAAGGTGGGGTTAAGGGTGAGTGGGTGGGCTGATTGTACAATCGAGAAGGAGGCGAGAGAGCCGAGGGAGGCGCAATGTGACAGGGACAAGTGAAGGAGAGAAGTGCTGCTGCAACCACAGAAGAGAACACTGTTATACCGAAGACTCTACCCTGCCCTGTATATCTGATCAGTGTTTTATACTGTATACCGTCTTTGTATATCTGATTAGTGTTTTATACTGTATACCATCGCTGTATATTGATAGATATGCAGTGGTGTATCATAAACATGTCCTAAACTTTGAGGTTAAATAGTGTCCAAAAGTACTCCAATCTAAAAGAGGCAAAAACTTGAATGTGTATATCCAAGATGATCGTATCCTGGGGGATGATGTGTCGGAGAAGCGATGGGTCCCCGTAGGGCTTACACTCACCAGATGCCGGGAGGGAGTCAGCTTTCTCTTCCACCGTCTCCATC